TTTTAACTGACACTTTATGTTTTTCCTCTTTATTTTTATGAGCAAGTTTGTTAACTTTCTTTGTGGTTACCATGAAATTTACCCTTATCTTTCTAAGTTTGAAGTAGTCTATTATTAACTTGGTATCACCTTCTCTTCCTCTCCATTAGAAGGTTCTGTACCTACACCGTTTATTCCCTCTTTTATTGTTCTCATGTTGTCATTTACGGATTAACTGCGCTGAATCCCTTTTGTATTTCTTTTGGTTTTGGATAGTTGTTAAGAGTTCATTTCCTAGATTTGTATCTGCCTAGTACGATCCTGCATCTTAGATTCAGCATATGAGCTGAAGTTGTTTGTTCTTAGATTGAAGGACTCCCTTTAATAATTCTTCTAACTTTGGTTTGGTTTTTACATATTCCCTTAATTTCTGTTTATCTGGAAATGTCCTAATTTCACTATCATATTTGAACAAGAGTTTTTCAGGGTATATTATTCTTGGCTGGCAATTTTTTTTCTATCAAGGTTTTATATATGTCATCCCATTGCCTTCTTGCCTGCATGGTTTCTTGCAGATAATCTGAGCTTAGTCTTATTGTTTCCCCTCTGTATGTGACTTCTTATTTTTCTCAAGGTGCTCTCAGGATTCTTTGTTTGTCTTTGGTTTTTGCGAGTGTGATTATGCTATGCCTTGGTGATTTTCTTTTGGGGTCTATCGTGTATGAGGTTCATTGAGCTTCTTTGATGACTGGCTTTTCGTCTTTCGTGATTTTGGGAAAGTTTTCTATCAGCAGTTCTTCACTGATCTTCTCTTTGTTTTCTGTTTTCTCCCCCTGTCCTGGAACTCTCATCACTTGCAGATTTTTGCTTTAATCGTATCCCACGTAATTCTCATTCTCTTCATTTTTCTTCGTTCTTTTTTCTGAGTTTTCCGCAAACAGAGTTGTATCCAAGTGTTTGTCTTCAGTATCGCTGATCCTGTCTTACAGTGTTTCAGATCTGTTCCTCAGCCCTTCTCTAACACTGTTCATTTCTGAAATCTTGTTGTTTATCTTTTGGATTTCTAATTGTTGTTTTTGTATGATTTCCAGTGAATTTATTTTGGAATTTCGTTTCTGCATTATTTTCCCGAATTATTCCATTTATTTTGTATTTTCCATGAATTTGTCTGCGTTTTCCATGTATTTGTCTATTTTTTCCTCATTTTTGTCTGCTTTTTCCTTCAACTCTTGGATAATTCTGAGTATTAGAGATTTGAATTCCCTATCAGGTAGTTCTAGTGCCTTTTCTTCTACTGGAAAGTTATCTGGTGTTTTATTTTGGACGCGTACTAGAATCATCCTGTCCTGTTTTTGTAAATGTTTTGATATTTTCTGCTGTCTTCAGAGCATTCAGTAGTTATTTTTCTCATTTATTCATTGTAGATTTGTTTGTTTTGTCCTGTTTCTATGTTTTATTTGGCTATGTCTGAGCAGGCGGTCTGTGTGGTGTTTGTTGTTTGCTCATCTGTGGGCACGATACTTGTCCCCTCCTTCTCCAGTTGGCAAGGTCAGTCGCTCAGATATGGTACAGCAGGGCATGTCTAGCTGAAGAGGAGTTGCTGGGATGGGTAGTTTGTGGCACTTACTATGGATACCAGGGCGGGCCGGTAATCAGTGCAGGGCAGGTTCTGGTAGGCTGTGCCTGTGCTGCTTGGTGATGTGATGTTAGGTGCACAGTGCAGGTAGGCAGGATAGAGGGGGGAGATTGTGATGTGTGGAGCTAAGATGGGTATGGGAGAGAAGAGAAGGGAACAGGAGCAAAAAACATACAAACAAATAAAAAAGAGTGCTAAGGTATCTCGCTGTTGGAGTGGAGAGATGAGAGACTATCAAATGGAGAAAAACAAAAAGGAGAAGAAGGAAAGAAAAGAAAAAAATGAGTAAATAAATATTAGAAAGAAAAAAAATAAATAAAGCTCCCAGGTATCCCACGGCTACAAGGTCTGGGGAGGTTGCTCCCAGGCGTTGAAGTACAGCCTGGCTAGAAGGTGCAGAGGTGTCACTAAGCACCAGGTATTCAGAGGACAGGAAGAGAAGGAAGGTTTAGAGAGTACTGAAGAAAGACAAAAAGGGGAAAAGAAAACAACAAAAATTAAAAAAAAAAAAAACAAGAAACTCCCTTAAGAAACAAAAAAAAAAAAACCCATGAAAAAAGAAACGCTCTCAGGGATCCCTCTGTGCGTCTGCACAAACTAAGGGGGTAGGTCCCAAGCCGTGCAGTATTGCCTGGCTAGAACATGCTCCTGATTCAAGAAGAGAAACAATTCAAAACAAACAAACCAAAAAAGCCCCAGGATCCCACCAGCGTGGTAGCATGGACCAGGAAGCAGTTTCACATTTGAGGGGAGTTTCACAGCCTTTCAGGAAGAAGCAAAGATGGTGCATGGAGCCAGGTATTTGAGAGAAAGGAGGGGGTAGTGGTGAGAGGTAAGGAAGAAATCAAAAGAAGTGGAAAATAGCAACACCAGCAGCCATCAAATGGCATTCAGGGAGTTGGCCAGTGCGGGCAGGTGGAATCCAAGCAGCCCGTGCTTCCCGGCCAAGAGACTGTGGCCACGGACAGCAGAGGAGGCCAAGTGGGGGTGAAGAAGTGTGGGGGGTGGGAAAGTATATCATTGGTTACCAGTTGTTTAGTCTTCTGCTGGAAGCTCTGTGAAGCTCCTTTCTCGTATCCCCTGTTCGCTGGTCTCTGATAGGGGTCCAAGATGGCGGATCTGTGCTGCATTAGCTGATAGGGGACCTCTGCATATATCTCTCCTTGCTCTCTTTTCTCTGTCAGTTTCTTATTCCATTTGGCGCTTGGCTGAGTTGTTTCTTCATTTGATCCTTAGGATTTCAGGATTGCTGTTTTCTCTGTTTGGCTTATTTTTTCCGATCTTTGCTTTGGAGGGACTGCATGGTGCTTCTGCCTAGAGCATCATGTTGCCTGGAAGTCTCTCTTTTTAATTCCTAAAGTAGCTCAGTAAATAATTTTTTGATCCCCAAAATGCTGTGGGATTTTACATAAAGTTCAGAAGTCTGAGAACACTGAGCTGTGTTTTGATTCTCTCCTCTCCTCTTCCTCCTCTCTTGCATACTGGTTCCAACCAGCACTATTGTAGGCACATATACTTAGGCCAGTAGGACTGACATGCACAGAAGTGGTTCAACTTGTAAAGTAGGTTAGGTGATAATATGACACTTTCAAATATGAAAATACAGATCTATGAAATAAACCAGTAGGACTTAAAAATTTTCTGTAAGATCTAAAGGATTCTGGACTCTCATCCATCGAAGAAACATATTAATGCTTTCCCTTTGATATGAGATCACTGACCCAAGCATCTTTTTCTTCCTTCCTTTCTTTTCTCCTAGGAATTATAGAAGTTACTTCCTTCTGAAGCCCTAGGTCAGTTAGAGTCAGTTCTGAATATTATCTTTAAGGCACATTATCACCCAAAATCAGTCTTAAAAAAATCTTCAGTGTTCTGCTATGTTTCTGGAATAATATTGTGCAGGTAGACCCCGGCTTATGATGGGGTTCTGTTCCGACAACTCCATCTTAAGTTGGTTGCTCTGATGTAAGTTAAAATGAAAGCCTTTTCTTTTCTTTTTTTTTTAGTTTTCATTATTATTGCCTTTTATTATCAGTATCTTTATAAATCTGATCTTTATTTGTCTTTGGGGGTTGGAAATATATAAACTTACAGGTATATCTTACTACATACATACATTTAAAAATGCAGAAATCATAAACGTTTACTCCAACGATGAAGAGTTGGAGCCCTGGTGGCATAGTGGTTAAGAGAGCTAAGGCTGCCAACCAAAAGGTCAGCAGTTCAAATCCACCAGCTGCTCCTTAGAAACCCTGCGGGGCAGTTCTACTCTGTCCTATAGAATCATTATGAGTCAGATTCAACTTGACGGCAACAGGTTTGGGTTTTTGGTTTTTGTTTTGTTTTGTTTTTTAAATAGGGCAGGTTTTGAACAGTAAATCATAACATTGAACATCTGTGCGTGAACATCTGAAATGGTAACATCAGCAAATTCCGTGCTGCAACATTGTTTGTAGTACATATTACTAATGATAAGATAGACCCCCCCAAAAAAAAAACCAGATAGTGCTAAATGCAGTTTGTCAACTTGAATATGATATAAGTCGGGAGCTACCTGTAATCTACTTCATGTTTACCTTGACTTCTTTGGTTAGATAGTATGTGAAAAAGTTTAGGTAAAGATTGCTTGTTATGCTATATTTACTAAATATATTCTGTTTTGTATTTGCTAAATGTTATTATTTTTTCCTCCACAGGATGAATATTCCATCTTTCCTCAGACATACTCTATAGATATTAATGGTTATATTCTTGTGTACTCTGTTACATCAATCAAAAGGTAATCACTCCTTATGTTTGCTTGAGTTTATTTGCTACACCTAGATAGCATTAATTCTTTTCAAGGATTACGCTGCATGTGGCAGTAATAAGTAAACTTAATTATTAGGCTGAATACTTTTTAATGATTGTCTTGTAGAGCAAGTGGGTTAAGAAAAAATATCTGGATAGATATTCTGTTATACTAATAGAATAAAAGTCTGTATTGACCTAAACTTTTCTAATTGAAATGGTAAGTATATAAATTGAGTTTAGTTTTTGTGTGTTTTTACCATATAATGTGGAATGGACTTCCTAATATAATTTTGGGATTTTGGTTAGTTGAATATTTTATCCTTTGAATTTATGAAATTAGACCTTGAGTAATCACAGGCTCACTTTACTATATAAAAATGGGGCTCCTGTTTTTGTTAATAATGATCGATTTTGGTTCCTCTGTCCACACATTTTTTCACACTGTTCTCAGGGCACGGCATCTGTTTTAACACGGAGGAGGTGAGAGCTCAGTCTGTGACTAGGGCTGAGCAGAGCTGTGCTGCGCTGCGCCGTCCATGTTAGTAGCAGAGCTCTAAGCACTGAGCAAACACTTGTATCTTTGAAGAATTAGTGAAAATTCAGTTCCAGCAGAGGGGAAATTTGTGGCTATCTAGCTTCTGTTGAGTGTGACATGTCAGCAGGTTTACTGTGCTCTTCACTTACACTGTTGTGTTGTTAGGTGCCTTCGAGTCGCTTCCAACTCGTAGCGACCCTACAGGACAGAGTAGAACTGCCCCATAGGGTTTCCACCGATCAGCTGGTGGATTTGAACTGCCGACCTTTTGGTTAGCAGCCAGGCTCTTAACCACTACACCACCAGGGCTCCAAAGGAGTTCCCAGTTTACTTACATACTATATTATTTCATTTAATCATTAACTTAAAAACAGTCCTTTGCCAGAGATACTCCTGTTTCCCACTTACCATAGAAAGGAACTGAGTGACAAAGGGGTCAGTAACTTGCCCAGGTTGTAGAGATAGTATATGGCAGTGCTGAGATTTATATACAGACCTCCAATTTCAGTCAAAGCCAGCACTGTTGAATAGACTTTAACTGTGATGATGGAAATGTTCTACTATATCTGCGCTGTCCCATATGGTAGCCACAAGCCACGTGTGGCTGTTAAAGGTTAAACTAATTTCAGTTAAATAAAATTTAAAATTCAGTTCCTTGGTCACACTAGCCACATTTCAAGTGCTTAATAGCCAGTGTGGCTAGTGGCTGCTACATTGGACAGTGTACTACCCTCCACTACACACTCTACTGCAAACGACAGTCGCAGTGTGCTCACTATTGATGTGTTGTTTAACCTTTTTATCTAGGACAGGGAAACATACTTCTCAGTTTTAAAGTCTTGCTATAAAATGTTTAAGTACTGTAGACATTCTTATAAGTAAATCCCATACTGCCAGCCCCTGAGAATGCTTACAGCTGAAAGGTAAAAAATGGAAAAGAAAGGGGAAATCACCCTCAGTCTAAATAGTGTTGATAACTTGGTGTATTTCTTTCTGGTCTCCCTTTTTGTTTTGCATGGATTGTTTTAATGTACTTAAATTTCCTCTCAGAGTGCTGTTCCATATTTTCTATTTTTATTTACCATATAAATACATTTTTGGTATTATCTACTCTTTGAAAACAGTAAGTTGGATGTATAATATGCCATGTTCAGCAATAGAAAGATGCCTATCTAATGTGTTTATATTTTATCACTAAAAATAATGCTTGTATTTTATGCATAAAACCACTGCCTGTTTATTATTTTGGGACTTGGTAGTTTTATTCATGGCAAGAGCACCTTAAGTTGTAAAAACTATTAGTCCTTTTTGTCATATTAGTTATAAAATATTTTCTTAATTTTGATTATATATTTTTAAAATTTATTTATCATGGCATAATTCATGTTTAACCCTCACTTGCTCACTAAATTCTGTCATTTTCTACTTAAATGCCTGCCATATAATGCCTTGTTCAGAAAAAATTTAATATACCAATAATCGGTGTATTAATATAAAAAAATTCAGTATACCAATAGTATCAGATGAGTTTATGAATTCCCACTGTTTCGCTAATTTACTTGAAAAACAGCTTATTGAAAGGTGGTTTCATTGTATACTTTATGATTTTTAGAAAATTATTAATATTGGTTACTTTATAAATTGTTAGTCGGAGGAATTAAAATAGTTGGTAGAAGATTTTCTTAGTGCATCCATTGATTCCTTTTTCTCTCTTTTGGTACACACAAAGTAGATGAGACATCTCTAGAATCAAGTTGAAAAGATAGCGTTTGTCACTGCGGAAATTAGAAAAATACACAAAGATATTTTAAGATGAAAACTTTGCTTACCAGGGAGTTCATATATCTGAGAAACTACTGCCTAACTGCATAGTGGAGAGACAAAAAGTTTTCTGTGTCATCTCAGTGTGGTACCTCAGGCAGTCTCTGAGCCTGTCTGTCCTTACTAAAACAGTGTGTTTTGTTTTTAAAGGATGCCTTTCATCTTAGTAACTCACAGTTTAACAGGCATTCTCAAGTAAATCTCAAACATGAGGGAATAAGGGAAGAATGGTGTTTTGTTTTGTTAGAAACCCATACGCTGAATACATATTTACAAATAACCGAGAAATGCAGGCAGACCCCAGGTTGCTAACGTCTGACTTAGGGACACCTGTTGCTTGCCCTTTAATGTTATGTAAATTTGCCCTCCATGGCAACAAGTAGAGTTAGTTTGAAACAATTGAACCAACCCACAACAAATTCTTCATCACAATCACCTTCACTTGCTGCACCAAAAAAAAAAAAAACCGTTGCTGTGGAGTCGATTCCGACTTATAGTGACCCTATGCCCCATAGGTTTGCAAGGAGCAGCTGGTGGATTCAAACTGCCAACCTTTTGGTTAGCAGCCTGAGTTCTTAATCACTGCACCACCAGGGCCCCTTTTTTGCGCTAAAGTAAGGCTAAGTAAGAACTGTATGCACCTCCTCCCCCTCACCTACGTATTCGACTTAAAGACACAGGAAGAGATCTCGTTCATAATCCTGCGACTCCCTATATGTTAGTGAAACTTCCTGAGTAAGCTGATCTGTTGATCAAAACTGTATACACTCTTCGGTTGAATTTAGCCCCCACCTAGATTATTATACCCATTGTTCATTATTTTGTGAAATGAAACAGAAGTCCCGGATTATTCCTTTGTATCGTAAAGCCCCGATAGAGTTGTTCCTTCTCATTAAACAAAACACACATCCAATTTCATAATTTCTAGACATGGAAAAAGAACTCAGATTTGAGAGATGGTATGTGTTCTTGTTTATCCATACTAACAGTTTACAACTCTGGACAAGTCACTTTACTTAGCAGTGCCACAGTTTTATCCATTATAAATTAGACAGTTGATATAGGAGAGAAAAGAAACAGTTGCTATTGAGTTGGCCCTTACTCATGGCGGCCTCTTGTGTGTCAGAGCAGAACTGTACTGTATAGGGTTTTCAGTGGAGGGGTTTTTTAGCAGTAGATCTCTAGGCCTTTCTTCCTAGGCACCTCTGGGTAGACTCTAACTTCCAATGTTTCAGTTAGCATCTGAGCCAGCGAGTTAACTGTTTGTACCACCCAGGGACTCCGTTAATAAGGATTACTAAGTATCATATGTATGTGGGAGGGGCGAGAGAGAGATTGGTAGGAAAGAAAGGAGTTCCTTGTGTTCAGTTTATTTTATATTAAAATGGTATGACATTTTATATTTTTCCTACTGTAAATATTGCATAATATATACTTGTAAAATTTTTTAATGAGTGATTAAAGACTAAAATGGATGTCTGATTTCATACTTTTTGTTTTGTAGTTTTGAAGTGATTAAAGTTATCCATGGCAAATTGTTGGATATGGTGGGGAAAGTTCAGTAAGTAGTGATCTTTTCTTTATCTGTTCTGTTAGATAAACTCATTGTAGTAATATCTTCTGAATAGTAAAATCTGGTGCTGACTAGTTTACGCTGGCTTTTTTTTCCCTTATATTAACAGGATACCTATTATGTTGGTGGGAAATAAGAAAGACCTACATATGGAAAGGTGCGTAGCTTTTAAATAATTAGTGATTTATAAAATTAAGTCTAAATTGATTTAGTCGTTGAAGTTCCATTTGTCATTCTTATGGTAGGAATATTTTTAGCTCTAGCATACCTGTTTCTGTCTGTTAAGAAGTGTGGCTGTGATTATGCATAGCAAAAACATAGCACAACTATAGTATAAATCTCACATACCTTGAAAGTGTCTCCTCTATAAAAGAAGCAGACTTTATAAAAAGTTGTCTTTAGGTTATTCTACCATTTTGCATAAAGCAAAATCTGAAAAGACAAAGATACCATTAATTTGTTCAGGTGGGTTTTTTTTTTTTTTTTTGGTAGCAAGGGTTAGGGTTACTGAGGTGAAGGGAGGCAAGGGCCACATTCTCATGGAGCTTAATGTCTGCAGAGGAAGAGACGTTTGCTGGCTGAGTTCCCTGCAGTCTGTGTACAACAGAGTTGAGCTGTGAGCCCTTTCGAAATTGTCCCTGGCCCTAGGTGTTTAAAGCCTAGCTGTAAAATAGTGGATTGTTACAAATATTGGAGTATTGGAAAATAAAATCACGTTCTCTGAATTATAAGTGCTTGCTGGAGCTTGGTTAACCGTGTAAGACAGTGTCTGTTCTGGTCCCCAACTCTAGCATAATTAAAATGATCCTCTCTGTTACATACTTGACGATAATATTGAGAACATGGTTCTGCTTCATAAGGAAAAAAATGATAAAAAATGTTGCCTGTTTCATACTGTTTAATATAATGAAGGACAAATTAATTAGAATTTCCTTTTTCCTTTAGGGTGATCAGTTATGAAGAAGGGAAAGCTTTAGCAGAATCTTGGAATGCAGCTTTTTTGGAATCTTCTGCTAAAGAAAATCAGGTATATATTTTTTAAATGACCTTAGCACTGCGTTCCCACCAGCCACAATCATATGTTCCTCTTACCCAGCATCTCACATCCATCTGTATCACTCCTGGTTGCTTTAGCAAGGTACTCTTTGTATTTTTATAAATTTCTGTCAGGATTCTACTTAGGATGGGACCATAAAATATGTGTAGAACACACAGAAAGTAATAGGAAAGGAAATACTACCTTTTGTAAACATATTTTATTATTTTCATTTTATAGTGAAGGCTGATACACAACTGCAGACATAGGAAGCAAAAAAGAATTATCTTAAATCATTTGGCAATCATTTTGTACTCAAATCTCCTCCCCCTTTTCTGTAAGATAAAACTGAGTCAGGTAATGTTTTTAACATAGAAAATATTAAGAACCATTCTGCAGGCATTTATTACCAATTTAAGCCCCATAGATGTTCCTTAAGAGACGTGTCTTAGGAAGGATGTAAATTCCATTTCAGAAGATTTTGCATGGCTCCTTTTCCTTCCGTTGCCATCATTTAGACTTGTATTCTCTCACCCAGACCTGTATCATCAAAGCTTGTCTCCTGCCTCCATTGTTTCACCAATAAACCCTTCTCTTAGCTCTCTAAAGCTACAAAACAGATTGTCATCCTCTACTCAAAAACTATCAGTGAGTTTCCCGCTATATGTAGAACCAGGCCCAAAACCATTGGCATGATATTGAGGGCAGCATATGATTTATACTTTTCTTGTTTCTCCTCTGATGCCACCCCTCTACTCAGTCACCCCAGACCACTTCAGCACACACAGTGGATACTGTCCAAATGCCTCATCTTTACCCATGCTTTTCTCCGGCCTAGATGATCCTTTCTCTAATCAACTACTTAAGTTCGTATGATGCTTTATCGTTTTTAAAGTGTTTTCAACATGTTTATCTTATTTGATCCTCAAGTAATTTGGTTTCCATTTCTGTGAAGAAGTTGCAGTTCACTGAGGGTAAATGCATTATTCTTGGTACGCAGTTAGCAAACGTTGACCTAGTACTCTTCTCTGCCTGCTCACCCACTTTTCCCTGTTGTCGAAATCAGTAGCTCTTAAGGTTCAGTGAAAATTTCACCTTCTCCTTGACTTCTTGATTCATCAGCTAAAATCAACAATAGTTTCTTCTCTCTCATGCCCCTCAATTAATTCTGAGATCCAAGATCATATCATTTACCTTTATATTTTCCATAATGTTCATAACTGTGTTTGTATCTTAATAGGTTCTCAGTCAACCCAAGTAGCCCTTGATATTCAAATCTGTTGGGTTGCTCTGTTCAGATAGTGAGGGATATTAAATCTGTGTAATTGGTTCCCAAGTTTCATACAGCTAAGGGATTTATCTAAACCAGTTCAGTTCCTGAGTACAGATAATGAAAATTCAGATAACAAGAGTTCAGATAGTAAGAGATATCTATAATTTTTAATTGAATTAAATAAAACATTTATTGGGTCCCTGCTCTATCCTTGGAAACCCTGGTGGCATAGTGGTTAAGAGAGCCTACAGCTGCTAATTGAAAGGTTGGCAGTTCAAACCACCAGGCACTCCTTGGAAACTCTATGGGGGCAGTTCTACTCTATCCTAAGGGTCGTTGTGAGTCGGAATTGACTCGACGGCAGTGGGTTGTTTTTTTGTTGTTGTTGTTGTTTATCCTTAAGATCATCTAGTCAAACTGTCGTATTTTAGAGGTGAGGGTAGTAAGACCCAAAGAGGTTAAATGACTTTTCTAAGATCACTCTACACTTTATATGGTAATAAGAACTAGGACTGTAGGACTCAGCTTTAAATCTAGCCCAAATCTAGTTCTCTTTCCTCTACACCGTGCTTTCTGACTGATGGAAAAAGGGGGGCTTGTGTACAACCCAAGTGTAATAGAAACTGAAGTGTTTGTTCTTAGGGGCAGCAGGTAGAGACTGTGCTAGATTACAGAGTCTGTGAGACATAGCAGATGCTATGTATGAGCCTTAATTGGAATCTGATTCTAAAAATACTAGTGTAAAAGGTATTTTTGAACAATTGTGAATATGTTCTGGGTATGTTAGGGAAAATAGTGTTAATTTTCTTAGGTGCAGTGGTGGTATTGGAATTATGAAGAGAATAACTGTGAGTCAGAATCGACTTGATGGCAGTGGGTTTGATTTATTTGGTTTATCCTGACTCTCAGTACGTACAAACCAAAGAATTCAGGAGCCACGTCTCACAATGTTTGCTGCTTACTTGCAGATGGGATGGTTGGATAGTAAATTCATAGATAGATGGATATATGATAGACAAACAGGCAAACAAATGTGGCAAAGATGTTAATAGTTGTTGAGTTCAGATAGTGGGTGTATGTGCTTATTGTGTAATTCTTTCCATGTTTCTGTATGCTTGAAATTTTCATAATAAAAATTTAGGATAGAAGAGTGCAATTCAGTGGTCCACTAGCTATCTTGCTATCTTCGGATTCTGTTGGCTAACTTCACCCTGTCTGTTTCTCTTGGGTGAAAACCTGAGAGTCATAAAGCAATTTAAAATATTCTGTTTCACATTATAATGAAATAGGCATCATCAGTAATGTTTCTCTATTCATGTAGACTTCATGTAGTGTGTGTGTGTGTGTGTGTGTGTGTGTGTGTGTGTGTTTGTAAGTAAGTAAGTAAGAGAGAGAGAAAGTATGTGAGTGAGTGAGTTCTGTGCTTACCTGGCAGTTATTATTCCCTCCAGCAACCTCGAAGGCATAGATACCTTATGAACCCTACCCAGTGTAATTTTTTAATAGGGCATATTACCTTGGGTAAATTTAATCTTTTTGAGATGTAGTAGTTTGTTTAAAATATGTTGTTAACGTATTTGGTCTCTGAATGCAGGCTTTTCTCTCTCTAGATTATGTTGTAGTTTACTAGAACTGAAGATTTTTAATATGGCTCTAGATAGGTTGACTGTTTGATCTTTTGATTTTGTTAGAAGGTAGTATACTGCTTTTTGAATACCCAGATAAAAGATGAATTGTGCTGAAAGCTTTAAAAGTTAAAATGAAAAAAATCTCACTATGATTCTTTTAGGTTTTGGTAGATCTAGCAAATTATTAGCTAAACCACTTTTGTTCTCACTTTCCTTCTTAGCCAGCTTAGATTCTGTGATTCATAGATTTAGCAAAGAAAGCAAGGATCCTTGGACATCTTCAGCTAGACAAATGCTATTTGCTCTAACATTATTACCATATCAGTAAGTACCTTATTACACGGGAAATGGATCCTTTAAGGCAGAAAGAGTCTTGTACCCAAATTAGATAAATACAGTGGTGTCATTGGGTGATATCATTGGAATGTTCTGATCAAATACCTGAAGGGCCTGTCTGGATATTTCTCGGTGTCTGTTAGTGTCTTTTGTTGTACTCCTTCTCGCTTTGTCTTCGAAAGTACTGTCAGTAATTAGGTAATCCTAATCCTAGGGAATTTTTCTCCCCATCAAGTGATTCTGATCCCTTATATAAGCAACCCTTACCTAAGAGATATAAGTGATTCTAATCCCTTAATTTTTGGACTATCATCTTCACCTTAGTTATTAAAATGATTACTGCTCATTTGTCTATTTAATAGGGAGATACACTCTCTCTATATATATATATATGTATATATGTAGTCCTGTGATTATATCAGTTTGTTTGGAATTCTCAATTTTTTTATTGATAGAAAGTGTCAGGTGTAGCCTGTTTATAATTTGTATTACTTAACCAAAAATACAGTATTTTAAAATAAACCATCTTAAGCAGATTTCAGTCAACTTTATTGATAACAAAGTACACAGTAGTCAGAATTGTCAGCAAGTTGATGAGAGTCCTGCTCTTTGGCTGTCAGTGAACTGTGGGGTGTATTTTCAGTTCTGTTTTATTTACTGGTAGAAAGCCTTCAGCTTTCTTTCAGCAGTTTGATGAAAGAGAATATATTTTGACAGTGTGAGATAACATAGATAATTGAGGCTAGTTCTAAGATTTATATAGAAGAGTCAAATACCAGGGATGTTTATTTTTCTTGGTAAGACGGTGTGTACCTTTCCAAACACTTTCCTGTGCTTTTTTTTAGAATAGAATAGATAACAATTTGTATAATTGTGGAAAAGAGAGAGGAAACTGATAATGCAGAAAGAAGGTGGAGAATTGCCGAAGCCAGTGTCATTGTTAGGCAAGAGAGAATGGGACTTGGGGTTAGCTTTAGATTAATTAGGAAGACAGGCACCTCATTCATCCCCACAGGAAAGAAGGCTGAGTATTTGAGCCCGGGTTGAGTGGATGGGTCCACTGGGCGAAGGGAGTATGTAGCGTTCTCTAATGAATGCTGCTTCTGTTTCCCCAGTGAAATGGAAAACAGGGTTATCAGCTGAGTGTGAGAATGAGGGGGAGGGGGCTAGAAATTTGAGGAGAAAGGACACGGCATGAAATATTCATCTGGGAGAGTGAATAGACTAGGGAAGGGTACCCGTTTGCTTATTGGCAGCACTGGGGGCCCACTTTAGATGCATGGTCAGGGATTTAAAAAGGGAGAGAGTGGGCAGTGTGAGTTTTCCTTGCTGCGTTTGCCATGAGGCTGCAGGCACCATGTAGCAGACAGTTGGCTGAGGAGGGAGTTGAAGGACAGTGACTATAATGGTGGACCGTGAAATCTAAGCTGGCCAAGGTGAACAAGAAGTGGTTTAGGAACAGGGCAAATGTAGGAGGATCAATGAACTGTAGGTCCCTGTGGGGATGAGAATTGCTGAGTTCAGGATACAGGAGAAAGTGAGCAAGGAAGATAGGTACAGTAGAATACTTGAAATTTAGATGATGGAGGAGGTGTGGTTGTTGGTAATGACACTATCTGGACACTGCCTTCTCCGTGGGGCTTTTGAAAATGAGGATTTTTTTTTATTCTCACAGTGACTGCAGGTACTGTTGGCATTTAAAGGGCAGAGACTGACAATGTTAAACCTACTTCAGCGTAAGAGAGGCTTTCCTGCCGCAAATGACAACAACTCCATGTTGTGAAGGACTAGTAGGGCCTGACCATGAGAGTGAGAGACTGAGCTCATCAGAGAAGAGGAGGTCAAGCGTCTGAGAGGCCAGGATATTGGAAGGATGGTTTGTGGGTTGAGATTACCCAGAAGTATCCCTGGAGGGATGGTAGAGACCTGATGATGTGCCAGGAGGAACGAGGGGAAGTGCCCAAGTTTGCGCGTGCCTGTATTGAGGAGGGCTGGGATTGATCTGTGTGGTCCCACAGCGGAAGAGTCAAGCTGAGTTTTAGGGAGGAGGTTGGAAAGGGCCTGAGGGAGAGAGCCCCGACCATACCTTGGGTCTTGTAATATCAAGACTAGAAGAGAGAAAATGGTTCCCTCTTGAAAGGGCTGTGGGGAAAGCAGTTATCTTCAGGGAAAATTAAAGCAAAAAAGTGAAGAAGATTTTGTTGATCCTTAACCTTAACATTCCAGAGTACACAGTGGAAGGGAGCAGTGGGGAAGAGAGGGGTAGGAGATGGTAGTTAGTATCTGGGAATGAGGAATCTTCCGGCTTCTTGTGACTGATGAAAACAGGGATCATCATGCTGTGCGGTTAATGCTAATGGTCTCAAGTCAGGTGGTGATGAGGGAGTGTTGAGCTGGAGGAGGGAGGGAGTGGTGAGTCTGAGGCTCCTAGGGCTTACCTGAAGCCTGCAGAACTCAGGTGACCTCCTCAGCCTGCACTTGCAGGAGGACTGGGCGGGCTCATGCCTTCTTCGTTTCTGCTGCCAGGAGAACTATTTATCAGGGTCTACCTTGGAATCCCTGGGTGGCACAAATGGATAAGTGCTCGACTACTAACCTAAATGCTGGTGATTCGAACCCACCCAGAGGACCTCAGAATAAAGGCCTGGTGATCTGTTTCCAAAAGGTCACAGCCTTGAAAAACCCTATGGAGCAGTTTTACTCTGCACACACGGGGTCACCATGCATCAGAATCCACTTGATGGAACCTAACAACAACACTTTAAAACTGATAAAACACTATGATTGGTTTTCTCTTTTTAGACTGCTGTGGATGTTTTTAGAAGGATAATTTTGGAGGCAGAAAAAATTGACGGGGCAGCTTCACAAGGAAAGTCTTCATGCTCGGTGATGTAATTCTACTGCAGAACCTGAGGACACTGGGAATATATTCTACATGAAGAAGCAGACTGCCCGTTTTCCTTTAAGATAAACTGTGCTTCTTTTTTCTTCTGTTAACCTGGGAGATACCATTTGGGTCAGAGCTTCCCCCCTCACTTTCAGATTATGTTAAACTCTGACTCTGTCCAAACGAGTTCACTTCCATTTTAAGCAATCATATTTTCAATTTATATATTGTATTTCTTAATAATATTATGACCAAGAATTTTATCGGCATTAATTTTTCAGTGTAGTTTGTTGTTTAAAATAATGTAATCATCAAAATACCTATTGTTACACTACTCTAAACTAAGCTTGATACATCAGTGTTTTACTTCATTGTGTTAAATGTATACTTGTAAATAAAATAGCTGCAAACCTTGATCCTTTGTGCTACTTAATATGGCTTGTAAAGATGAAAATCCTTGTTCTCCTGAGAGTTTCCTTGGCCTTTAGGAAGGCTCTAATTAGACTCCAGGAACTGGTGGAGGGTGTGACTGCAGAAGGTGGCTTGTGAAGCCCTCATAGGTGCCTGCTGACCAAAGAGCTGCTCACGGCTTGATGAGCCCCAGCAGACACCAGGCAAGGAGCTGGACTTTGGTGGCGAGTAGAGAATTTGCAAAAAGTGTCAGAACTGGAATGGATTCAGATGGACTGAAGCTGGGAATCACTCCCCAATAATTACTATATTCTTTCCTTTCAGCCTACAAATCCCTAAACCTTGATTAGAATATTTCGCGACAGGCAGGGCTGTGGTGGTTTGTTAAGCATAATATTCTTGTTATCCATTTGCTTGTCGATCTTGCTATTGGAAGAAAAGGAAATGGTAAAAGGTACTTTCTGTGAGTTGCCTATTACTATCCCATAACCTTCAGGTGTTTAAAGGATGGAGGATATTAGCAATAAGTGTTCTGTGTTGGGGCTTCATCAGACAGACTACATACAGCATTGAAGGAGAACATACTTGATTTGTATGCTGTTTATCACCTTGTCTGTAGGTCAAACTTTGAGTTGAGTAGTGTTTTTTTAAATAATACTCCTTCCCATCCTTTCCAGTTAAAATTTCACAGGTCCATTTCTAACATTTAAGCAAATGTTATTATTGACTTTATTAATAAAATATAATTTTGCTTTGCAACTGATCTTTAATGAAAAAGTATGTTCAATAAAATTTGAGAACACAGTATTGTTACTTATTAATAGGATTTATTCTTAGGCTTAAAAATGTATCAGACCACATTAATCTCTCCCGTTCATCCAGTCAAGCTTTTCATCTGAAAAGTTGTTTCTGTGTAAATGGGAACTTTCGGCAGCATATTTACACTAGAAATGCAAGCGAAGCTCTCGTCATCATCAGAGTGGCCCTTTAGGGACTGGATCACATAGACTTCTGATAGGAGGTAAGATTGTGTCATTTCTTTGCATGTTGTGGTTCATCCATTCATATACTCAATACTGAGCACCTACCATGTACCAGACACTGTTTTAAGGGCACAGCAATGGGCACAATAGAGAAATCTCTACCCTTGTAGAACTTAAATCCTATGGTTAACCTTGACAACACCACAGGGTCAGTCCACTCCTGCTTCCCAGTGCAGTGACCCCATCCACTAGCCATTTAATTAATTTACTTGATGGGTTAAGCATCTATTACGTTCCAGACATCTTGTTAAGGCTCGAGACTTTAGTGATGGGGAGTCCATTAACCTCCTGATGATGATAGTAGGTGGTCAGTAAACGGTATCTGTTTGTGCTAGTGTTCTGGTTTGCTTCACTCTTAATCCTGTGAAATAGATACACCCTATTTTACACGTGCGGAAACAGTCTGAGAGGTGTTAGAAGATTGAGAAATCAGTTACGTACAGATTAAAATTAATATGGTGGATATTTTTGCTGAAACTAAATTGCCCATCTACTCTTAACTCACTCACATCTGACATCTCACCATCTTTTCACTGAAACCGCTCCTGTCTAAACTGCCTGTCACCTCTGCTTCACCAAATCCTATAGACATTTTCTGGCTTCTTACTCAACCCCCCAGCATCCTGCAGTTGACCATCACTCTCTTCTCATAACACCACATTCTCCTGGTTTTCCTCCCTGCTCACTGTTGGTGCATCAGGCTCCTGGCTCCTCTACCAAACTTCTCAGTGAGCTCTTTTTCCTGTCTGTGCCCTTGTCCTTGATTTTATCCAGTGACATGGTTTTAACTACCAACTTTCCTGAAGAATCCAAAATTTCTATCTCCCACTCTGACCTCTCGGCTCCAGGCTTATACTTGACAGGCATAGCTACTTGGATGTCTCAGAGGCATCTCAAATGTTGTTGCTATGTCTCTTCTAGACTTCCTGTTTTAGGAAATGTCACCATTATCCACTAGATGCTAAAGCTAAAAATTTGAGAGCTATCCTTAGTGCTTCCCTTCGTATCCGTCCTCCAATCCATCAGCAAACCCTAAGGGCACTGCATTCAGAGATGTGTTTGTATCTTACCCCTTTTCTCCATCCTCACTGCCTACTGGACCGCTACGATAATGTGCCCTCCAAACCATTTACACTGCAGCCAGAAGTCAACTTTTTTAAGACAATTTGTATCATGTCATTCCCTTGCTTAAAATCGTTCAATAGCAGTTGTACCAAAGTCTGAACTTCTACCGTAAAGGCCCAGCATGATCTCGCTGTGCTTAACTCATCTGCCACCCTGATTATTCTCCAGTCACTCTGTTCCTAGAACCAGTAAGCTTTCTCCTTCCTTGATACTTCCGTGATTGCTCTTCCCTCAGCCTAGAATACCCCTTCCCATGTCTTCTCAGCCTCCAGGTTAGCTTAAACATCTCAAAAGGACTTTCTGGGATCACCTGGAGTGTCCTCTATCTTGTCAGAGCCCTCATGTTTTATCACATAGTCAGCAAATGTCATAATTTATCATTTTCCTTCTATTATGTATATTATATATTACTGAACTATGACAAGAGCCGAGACAGTATCTCAGACTCTTCTGATTCCCCAGCTCCTAGCACAGGGCCTGTTGTAGATGTTTTTAATTTTAATTTCCTATTTTCTTAGTGGTTGCCCTTAATTGGTAACAATCCTAATTCAGATTAATACCAACTTAATTTCAACAGTTTACAAAAACTTTGTTTCTATATCGTTCCATTCCCTGCCGCCTCCTATGTGCTGTTATTGTCATACAGGTACGTCTTTATACAGTGTATGTTCACCAATACAGATTTCTAATTCTTCCTTTATGTAGTTGTCTTTTAAATCAAAATACAGAAAGGTTACAAACAAAAAATGTGTTTGCACTATCTTTTGTATTTACCTATGTAATTGTTATTACCAGTGCTCTTCATTTCTTTATGTAGATTTAAATTACTGTCTAGTATCCTTTGGTTTCAACCTAAAGAACTCCATTTAGTATTTCTTGTAATGCAGATCTGCTAGCAACATTCTCTCATTTGTTTATCTTGGAATGTCTTGATTACTCCTTAAATTTTAAAGGACAGTTTTGCTGCATAGAGAGTTCTTCCTTGACTCTTTTTTCTTTCAGAGCTTTGAATATATCATTCCACCTCCTTTTGGCCTCCGTGGTCTCTGATGAGAAATCAGTTGTTAATCTTACTGGGGATCCTTTGTATGTAATAAGTCACTTTTCTTTTGCTGCTTTCAAGATTCTCTGTCTTTGGCTTTCAATGATTTTATTATGGTATGTCTAGGTATAGATTGATGTTTTTCATCAAATTTAGGAAGTTTTTGACCATCATTTCTTTAAATATTCTGCCCCTTTTTTCTCCTTCTAGGACTTCCATTACGGTAGTTTGGTATTCTATTTTGTTCTTAGAATTTCTTTCTCATTGAATGAGACACTGTTCTTATACTTTAGTTCTTTGAGCATATTTAAAAGTGCTGATATCTTTGTCTAGTAAGTCCAGCGTCTGGACTTTGTTATTTCTCCTGTGCATGAGCCGTTCTTTGCATATCATGTAATTTTTTTGTTGAAAACTGGACATTTTAAATTCTGTGGCAACTCTGGAAATCAGATTCTTGCCCCTCTCCAGGGTTTCTTTTTGTTTGTTACTGTTTGTTGTTTTTGCTTAATAGACTTTTCAGAAATATTTCTGTGAAGTCTGTATTCTTTGTCGTGTGTGGCCACTGAAGTCTCTCGTCGCTTAGCGTAGCGGTCAGTTCATGATTGGACAGTGATTTCGTTAAATGCTTAGAACTGGTGAGCCTCCTAGTCTTTACCGAGAGGCCCTGTGTTGTGCGTATTGGGGCATGCCTTCAGCACTCAGCCAGGCAGTTCACAACTCTCCAGAGGATGCATCAAGGTCAGTGAGAGGTGAGAACTTAGAGATTCCCAGGTTTTTCATGAGCATACACAGCCCTGGGCATGCTCTGCCTTCTGAATTCCTAGGAATATGTGGGAGTTTTCAAAGCTCCGTGTGAACATCTCATTCCTCAGCTTTTCCTTTTAAGTTTTTGGTTATCTTGTTTGCCCTACTGTCACCCACTGCCTCAGACGGGTGCAGTGTTAAACAATTGCTGCTGATTGTTTTTGACAAATGCCCTTGGGGGAAAGGCTGTACACAATGAGTGAGCTCTGAGTTAAGTCAAAGAATGGCAGTTCTCTGGGACTTGGACTTTGAAAGAGCTCCTACCCTGTTGGGCCTGCCCCACTGACTGCTAGGCTCTTGGTTTTCAAGGTTATCACAGAGATGGGAATAGGACAAGTTAAAACACCACAAAGCTTGCTATTCTTACCTATATTCAGCCATTTTTCTTAAATGCTCCCCAGATTGTTGTCTTTCATTTCCAGTGTTCAGGAAAAGTTGGTTTTGACATTTTTACCAGTATTCTCATTAGGTTTTTGGAAGAAAGGATCTTTGGAGATCCCTACTACTCTATTCCAGATGGCATCTCTCTAGCATAGGGCCTGACACTTCATACTCATCTATTGAATGAACCTTCTTGTGGCACTGCCTTCTATACACGTTCTTGTGCATTTGGTTTGTGTCTATTGCTATGTGATGAAATCCCCACCCTGTGTACAGTGCACTGGATGCATTTGGCCTTTGCCTATTGGGCCATCTCTTCTTCTTGGCTCAGAACAAGGAAGAAGTGCTACCGTGGAATCCTCTCCAATTGTGAATGCAAACGTGGTGGGACTCTGAAGTCTCAGCTGTACTCAGTTATCAGGAAGCCATTCAGATGACCCAGAATATGCTTATTTTTAAATTATCTAAATGGGAACAGTCTTAAAATTCTTGTAGGGGACTGGACTTCCAAGAAATTGTGGTGCTAGAGGACTGCAGCCCCAGGTCTGACAAGTGTGTGCTCAGCTGCATTACTCCCGATGCCCAGAACCTCCAGCACAGTCTCAGA